TAGCCCACTAGCTTGTTACCTGTTGGGCCCTAATCTTTGTGACCTAGCCCATACCGAATTCTACCCTATATCTACCATGCCCATTACTGTGCCTTAGTGAGAAATATAATTGAGCCTTTTATTTGAGAAGAAACTATCGGCGGTCTTTGGCTGTTTGCTTCGTGCTCTCTGCCTATTACTTAGTGCTTTCACTGTACTATTGCTTCTCACTTTCCTATAGCTTTAGTGGATGTTTTAGGTAGCTATTATAATCTCAAAAGCTAAAGTGTGGTGACACTTAAATGATCACGTGGATGTTTTGTTATAGAACAAAATATTGGAGACCTGTTAGGGAGATTCTATATGGATAACTATCTAAGTGTCGTGGTTATAGCGTTTGGTAGTGGAATTGGTCCTTCGACTTGAGGTCATCATAATGTCTTATATGGGAAAGTCATACTTTTGGTGATATTGGATGCTACTCTACCAAGGGTCGCTAATACGGCATCGTTCGGGTATGTCAAATCATATGAAGGTTGTGAATGATCAACAGATGATTCATCACTCTTAGATAGTAAGAGATTATGATGTAAATTTCATTCAGTTTGATAGCAAAATCATTGGCCAAAGTATACTAATCAATCGAAAATGAGTTTTCGACTTACATGACTTAATAGTATGATGAAAAATATGATCAATAATTGAGATTGACACATCTCCATATTCGTAATTGAGCAGATTATATTGATGAAAGGATTAAAGTTTCACAATAAACGAACAAATTTTGTTTTGTTATACCACGAGACATTTTTCATCACATGTATTGTCTTGACAAATTGTTGGATGTCAATTTGGGACGACGAATGTGAATTGATGATAAATTAAATGAAGTATTTTAATTTATCAATTTTGATTAGATCAAAATAATAATTCGCATCGTTGGGTATAGTGATCGAGAACCTAATGGACCACACACAAAAAGAGAACCAGAAGAATGAGATTCATCAATTAATTAACAAGTGTTTGGCAATTAATTAATTGAGTTGTTTGTTAATAAACCCGAATTAATTAATTGGGTTAATTAAATATTGGACCGGATTACGTTTAAGAAACGGGCCAAGTCCACTTGGATTTATATTAATAAGCCATTAGAGTTTCAGAAAAAGAAAACAGAACATAATTAATTATCATGCTAGCACAAGAAAAGAGAATTTCTAATTTTCTCATTCTTATTTTACGTGTGAATTTTCACTAGAGGCTGGACAATTGGACAGTTGTAAATTGCGGATCGTGATTTTTCGTGTTTCAAGATCAACAAAGGAGTTTGCAAAATCTACAAAAGACATAATTTGTATCACAGTTTCTTTCTAAATACAGGAAAAAAAAAATTGAACAAAAAACATTATGAATCTTCACACTATACATATATTAGATCCACAAATGCTTGCTTGCTCTTTCCTGTTGTAGTTGATTTCATGTTTGAACTTCTACCAAGTTTGTGAATGTTGTTGTCTATATTATGGCGTGGGGGTGCGGTTGGACTTTGTTTAGCACAGCCAACTGATGAAGACATTGCGACAATTAGTAGTTGCTAACATTGCCAAACTTCGAATCTATATTCCTACCCTAGTTCCCCAAAATATGGAAAATCTAGTAATACATAATGTCCAAAAAAAAATAAAAAGATCAATGAACTGAACTGAACTTGGTTTTCAATTTATTTTCCTCAAACAAATTTCTCTGTGCAGAGAACTTCATGACAAGATACCAAATGTATTTGATAGGGAAAATTTAAAGCTGGGCTTCATTCGAATTGTGAGTATATTACCCTTTTTTACTAGTATAATTTTGCTCTTGAAGATCCTCTTGAACTAAAATATTCATGGATTTTATACAAGTATAAATTTCTTGTTACCAGTTCCCAACCCGAGGAAAAAAATTTCTTAAAACAAATTGGATTAATAATATATAAAGTTGAAATTTCAAAAAACCAACTGTGGTGAATAAATTTCCATAGAGAAGTTTTTAAATTCCATCTGTACTTTTACCGTATGCTTTTCAACAAATTAACACCCTTTGTATCCATTTTTAATTAGTGGTCGTTTTGTCATAAAAAAAAAAAAAAGAAAAAAAATTATTTATAACACTCTATATCCATTTTTAAAGTAATACTATGTTTGTGAAAAAATATGTTCAAGGGTTTCATAATAATTAGTTGTTTAGGGCCTCAAAGTTCTAAGGCCCCGGCCCTGATCACGCTTAAAGCACTGCACAAGATTTTTAAGTGATATTGGCGCGATTGAAAATAGGAGAGTCACAAAGGCACATTTTTTTTCCGGAATCCATCTTTCCTTGTATATCAAACATACATCATTTCTTCTCTGTTGTTCCATCGAGATCAATTTTTTGCATTTTTCTTTCCTTTTTTAACTTAAAAATTTAGGTCAAAGAAACAATGCAAGGATTAATTGTTTTCTAGGAAAGGCAACTTTGCAAGGCTGACAATAACTGTTGCATTACATTTTACATAAACCAGTAGTTATACAGTCAGAATCATAAATTACAAGCTAAAAATTAACAAGAACGGGTTACAAAAAACAACGTGTCAAGTCGGACCCCCTAACCACGACATATTTACCTCCAAATTACATTGTCTAAAGTGTATAAAATGCATGCCCTGAGTTTAAAAGCTATAATCTTCTCAGGCACAGCAAATGACAGGACATCTTGTAAAACTAAGATTGTTGTAATCTTTCACTTCACAAAAACCACCTTGTATTGGCTGGTTGCAGGATCTGAAATGAGCACATCAAAGTATCATCAATACACATAATTGCACCATCATTATCGAATTCACCACGGAATTTGGGAGCAGAAAATATTGTAATTAGCTGTCTGTTAGAAAAAATTATATCCATCTTCCACGCACTGATGACCACGACATACAAGGTTTAAATCATGCTTCATTAGGAATTCAGTTACCTTATCTGAACCAAAAGTGTATGACCCCCCTATCGCTCATCCGCCAACCTTTTTCTTGGCTAGGATTCGACCAAAATAAGTCACAAACCAAACCAGAGTCGGGAACATCAGTTGGACAAGTCATATTTCTTATTTGATCAAAGTTATGTAGATCAGGAGAAAGACCACCATGCATGCAGAGTATTTTATCACCAATAAGAGCAGCCACCAGAAGGCAGTTAAAACAATCAATAAAGGCTTTCCAGAGTCTCACGTTGTAGCGACCTTCACATTCGTCATAGAATCCATGTATCATATTAACAGAAGTGCATTCGTGATTTCCTCTTAAAAGAAAGAAATTTTCGGGATATTTAATTTTGTAGGCAAGAAGAAAGCATATTGTTTCTATACTCTCTCTCCCATAGTCCACATATCCCCCTAAGAACAAATAATTGGCCTCCGGAGGGAATCCCCCAATTTCGAAAAGCCTTAAAAGATCTACGTACTGACCATGAATGTTGCCACAAATCTTTATAGGAGCTTCAAGCTCAAGAAGATTAGGCGGTGAAAGAAAGATTTCACGCGAGGCAATACAGAGAGTGCGGATCTCATTCTCCAACATCTGCACCTGCCGCACGGTGCTCAAATGTCGGGATGTCAATGACCGATTGATGATATCATCGGGAAAAGCAGGCTCTATCCCCTTTCCTTTTGCTGCCATCTCTTCCTTTCTCTGTCCTATTCCTAAAACCCCCTAAAAGTCAAACACAGATAACAAACCCAATGAGGCAAAGCAGACTACAAAATACATGTTTAATAGTATTGTAGAGTTTACAATGTAGTGTAGAAATGATTATTACAACTACAATGCGGAAATATAAAATCTCAAAGTGTAAAACCAAACCAAAAAAGACTCAAAGCTTCTTCAACACTTTAGTGGAGTGTCATATGACGTTGAGCTCAGATTTTTGCCATTCTGAATCATGCACCGTCGTTCACGGGACTGGCAATTGATATATCGAGAAATAAATCCGCCGGAAGCCACCAAGAATTTTGCCAGACATATGAACTTCTTTCACTTGGTTACCTCTCTATGCTTACTCTCTTTTTGTTATGCCAAGTCCAAAATGATAAGGTGGAGTAGTCTTGTAATTATAGAGCCAAATATCAATTTGAATTCGAATTCAAATTCAAATTCAAATATTGTACTATGAAATAGACTTGACTACAATGTGTAATTGACCACAAGATTAAATCCAATATACTTGACTAGCACAATCCTTTCATAGTGCTCAAGACAAATACTTATGTGCCAAGTGGATTAAGTTGATCTACCTCACAAATCTTCACCTTGGATCACATATATCTGATAAGTGTGTTTTGCACACTTATTTAGGTCACAAAACATGGAAAATTGTTGATGTATATGTTGAAATGTGGCTTAATTCGATATAATTTGTGTTTATAGGATTACATTGATGGATGGAATGAAG